TTTCTTCTTACTGTCTCATGTTAAATCAGACCAAACATTTCTCGGTTTAGCTTAATTAGAATTACCAAAGTTATTTCTATTTGCTAAATGTCAGAAAACTTAGCAAGAACATTTTAGAGCTTTTTGAATTCAGAAGTTTACGTGCATGATTGTTTTTTAACTGTATGAATTAAAAGAAAGTTACAGAAAAAATCTCTCACCTAACCCTAATTTTTCTGGAAATAATCAAAAAGAAGTAATTTTGATAAAACAAGAAAAGTTTGGTCCGTTTGAAGAGATTTATTCACAGTATGTAAACTTCTGGTTTCAAATGGAAGTTCACTGAAACATTTATTATTTATTATTAAGTTTAAAATGCAGACAGCAGTTCTGTTGATCTCCAGACTGATTCTTTAATGTTCGACAGATTATATTGAAGGATGTTGACGCAGATTGTGACATCACAGATCTCTGAAGTCGGTCCTGCAGCAGCATGTTTATGTGCAGCTCAGGTTTGTTTACGAGGTTCAGGAACCGTTCTGGCTGGACCCGGGTCAGAGGAACCTGAACTCTGCTTCCTCAGTGTGAATCATTGACACGAACCTGCCGTTTTAAATGCAGGAAAAACGTGTCATTCTGGCCACCAGCATATTGATCGGATTAAATCTGTAAAAGTAGATGCTAAAAATAAAACAGGCGTCGGCAGCAGGAAGATGAAACAAACACTGCAATGACTCAGACTTTGATGTTTGAATGGAAAAAGTTTTATTGGTCAAATTCTGAGCTATAATCACACCAGCCGAAAATCAAAACCTACAAATATTAAATGTAGAAACTCATTTTTACTTTCCTTCAGGAGTTCCTGGACTCTCACTGCAGAACTGATAACAAAAGCAGCACTTTCTGTCGTCACACCAGCCTCTGTTTTCACTGGGCAGATAAGCTACAGACACAATAACAGAGTTTATATTACAGACACAGCATTCTGCAGGAATTAATTATGAAGAAATGTTTTCATAAAGGAGCGACATTAAGCTTCTTTACCCAGTGATGTATAATAATAATTATTATTATTGTTATTACTTTGTGTTTGTAGCTTCGTTTTATAATTTTAATATTGTTTTTATCTGTTTCTGCAGGATGAGTTTGACAGAATAACGAAGCAGACGTGAAAAATTAGGAATTTAATGTCGGGATTAATAAAAGAAAATATAAAATTATTTATATTTACAGACTTTAAACTATGTTCTATTGTATAAATACTGTAAATATTCATCCAGATTCTTTCATCCATCCCTGCAGTAATATTTACTCTAATCCACTCTGTATTTTTTATTTATTTTTATTTAAAATGGACGCCTGTTTTTCTGATCTCTGCTGGCTCAATCCTGGATTTTTACATCTTTATCCTCATGAACCAAATCCTGCTTTGCTCTGAGTCTATGGAAGCAGGAAGCACACAAAGCGTCGCTCTGCAACACTTCAAAATCTGTTAGATCACGCAGAAAGCAAATCAAAAAGCAAACACCTGTTCCCCTCATGAACTCAGTACCGGCATGTTTTGGTCACACAGGGCTGCCGTAGTGCTGCTGGCTCCGTCTTTTAACTATTTTGGATTCTTCTGAACACAGAATTTTACATTAACTTATAATTTTAAATAGAAGAATTATCATATATTATCCTTACTTATTGCTTTAAATAAGTTTTATTTGTTTATTTCAGGACAATATCAATAAATAACGTCAGAAGAAACTGAAACTAAATTCTTGTGTAACATGATCCAGTAAGAGGCTTTTCAGCTCTTAGCTTGTGCTGAATAAAACCCGCGACCCGACGATCCAGATCCACTCAGGAATGCACTTCATGAGTCCGTACTGTAGAAAAACAAAAGACCCGCTTTACGCTTTAGATTTAGTTATTACTGAGTCATGACTCAAATATAAACCAGAATAACAAAGACGTAAAACCTGGAGTGTATGAGGCCAGTAGCCCGTGGTTCTGGTGGAGACGCCCAGTGTGGAAACGGCATGACGAGCGTAAACCTCCGGGCTCGGAGCAAACCATCCCTCTGCTGAGGATGATGAAGATATCTGAAATACAAACAGCAAAATAAAACTTTACACATTTATAAACAGGTTTTATTTCTGGGTAAAAAGCTTTTTTAAATTGAAATAATACACAGAAGTGGTGCAAACATAGAAAAGATGAATAGCTATCACTGATACAGAGCCGAGTAAAGGAAAAAAAGCATATTATATCCCTTAGTAACATTTTGTCATGTTACAAAAAACAAAAAAAAAACTGCAAAGTGTGGCATGCCTTTTTATTCAGATAAGATTAAGTTCAGGAATTTTCTAGAAAAAAACTTGGAAATTTCTGAGTTTCAAAAATGTATTTTTTTTTTACTGTTGAAAATTTTTCTGAGTTTTGAGTTTGTCCAATAAAAATCTCAGAAATTTTTAGAACATTTCTGAAATTAATCTAAAAATTTATGAGTCTTGCCTTGAAAATTTTAGACTTTAGAAGCAAGACAATTAAATATTTGCCTCTCTAAATAGTTTTGCAACATATTCTATATATTCATTCTGTTCATAAAAGCAAACAATTCCCAAATTGCAAATGCTTTAAAATGTGCAGTTCGATAAATTACAAAGGATTTAACCCTGAAACTCTCTCTGTGATCTGTAGAAAGGTGAAATATGGTTTAGTTACAAATAAATAATAATACATTTAATTTGTATATCACTTTGCTAAACACTCAGAGACTTTACAGGAATCAGGTAAAGTCATCAGTACATCAAACAAAATCATAAAAGGAGAATACCGGTAGTTAAATACAGAACATGTTAAAAATAAATGAAATTAAATTAAAAAGGAACTACTGCCATATCGGTGGATTACCTGGAAAGGAATCAGACTTTGAATGAAGATCCCTTTGTTGCTGTACTCAAACTGAAGAGCTCTTGAGAAATGATCCAAGTATCCCTGGAATGGAGGGAAAAATGACGTTAGTGCAAATATGAGAAAGTGAAGATAAAGTTAATGGTTGGATTGGTTTGTTGTTGTCAAATCAAAGCGTCTCTCAGGTGTTTATCTTACAGTGAAAGCGGAGAGCATCACTCTCCCATGTCGGGGTCTGCAGCTGGAGCCTGAGGATATGTTGACCACCGCCCCCCTGCTGCGCTCCACCATGCCCGGCAGCACCAGTCGCGCCATCAGAGTGGCGGCGCCGATGTTCCTGTTCACCCGATCCAACACGCCCTGCTCGGGAATTTCAATCAGGCTCCGGGGCGAAGCCGACGTTTCGTCCATACAGTTCACCAGGAAGCCGACGTCTTTACCCCTCAAGGCCTCGGCGACAGGTTTGGCCGCCGCTTGGCCCAGAGAGAAGTCGGCGGTGACGACGGTGGTCTCCACCCCGTAGGTTTGGGAGAGGAAGGAAGCGGCGTCTCTTACAGAGGAGCCGTCCTGAGTGATGAAGATGATACTGACGCCGCTTCGAGCCAGCTCCTCTGCATAAGCACCGGCTACAGGCTGAGCTGCACCTGTCAGCAGAGACAAAATAAAAACCTCGTTTTACCGTCATTAACATTACTTTTTAATGGAAAACGTTTGTATTCCTGCTTTGGATTTGGAAAAAAAACCTGATTTCACAGCAAGAGATAATATTTTTAGTTCTTTGATAAGTTCTGCTACAGAAAGTATTTTCTGATGAATAATTAATTAAAACCTTTAATTTCCCTTAGCACATTTAGCAGTGGGTACATGAGAATGATTGACTGCACTAAGACCCTCCTTCCGGCTCTGATTGGTTGTTTTTAGTTGGATTGGTGCATTTCTTCAGACAGGGAGGAAGGATCTTTTCACAGATTATCAGTCTCATAAACTGTGATGACATGGCGACATTTTTAACAAATATGTAATAAAAAAAAATAAAAATAAAAAAAAAGAAGAAAAAACATTCTTTACAAAAGTTACAAACTGCAGTTTTGATACTTTTCTATATTTATTACAAATTCTTTAACGCTCATAATTACAATCTAAGTTTTTAAAATTATTTTTAAAAAATGCTCCAATTTGCCTTTCCTGTATGAGAATAGAGTAATGCATTGCTTCTCCTTCTGCTTATATGTTGCTAGGCACTACCAGTCAGCTGGCTGAAACAAGGCTATAACACCACCACTAAATTTGGCGTCTATTTTATATATTTTAAGGTGTTTTTAGTACATTAAATAGTGTTAAAGTATTGCTTTTTTTGTTTCATAACTTAAATAAAATCTTAATTTTTTTCTTCATGCTGAAATATTTTTGTTATATTTGCAATGCCAACCTGTTGTTGTCTCCTCTCACCATAAATAACAGCCCAGTCCCCGTATCTCTGGGTCAGCCTCCCGCTGGGCATCATCCGCGGCAGGAAATGGACCCTAGCCACCGTGCAGCAGTCCCTCAACAGGACAACTGCTCTGCTGGCCGCGTACAGAGCTCCGATCAGGGCCAGGGCCTCGAAGTGAGAGTTGCAAGACCGAGAAATTTCTCTGTACAAAAGGTGAAAGCTGTCCACAGCCGCCGCCATGCTACACACGCTATATTATTGTTATTTACACCTAGTGGTGAGTTAAAACTCAACGAGGAGACGGTTGGATGTAAACCTAACAGGTACACGAGAAAGAAGAGTAAAATATAAATTCGTATCGAGTCACGTTTTCACCAAAGTTGTGTTTTTACACACGCTGTGACAAGTAGAAAAGTCTCATGTAAGCCATCCGGAACAGAAACAAAACATTGGGTCACGTGTCAACATACATCAGCCATGCTGCTTTCAAAACCCTCAGCAAATCCGCCAGATTTTACCCAAATGGTGAGCGAGTTACTTTAGTAAAGTAAAAGTACACGTTTTTTATCAGCAATTAAAATAAAGACAAATTTGTTTTTTTTTAATTTGTCTCTCAACTACATTAGAGTAATTAATGAATCATCCCAGTCATATTTCATAGGCAAATATTTGTGTTTTTCGGCGCTTCCTAAACACAACACAACGCTCCTCCCAAACGAGGAGTAGCCGTTTCCATAGAGACATGGCTGTCTATGGCAAGTGATGCTAGAAGGCGATTTCTGGCTCTTTAAAAGGTAAATACACCTTATTTTTCACACGTTAGTGATGGATTTCGTTCTGTAGTTAAATGCTGCTTTAGGGTTTACAGTGTTTAATTGTTAATTTAGCAAAAATCTAGCCAATTTCGCCCTCGGTTAGCCGCGTTGTAGCAATTAGCATCATTTAGCTGATGAAGAAAGGTCAAATTTTGCAGCCTTAGCTTCATAGTTTATTAATAATATAAGCAAACATATCGGGCCTTGGAACATTTATTAGTCTACTCGGTGATACATGGGCTTGGATGTCATTTAATTGGATAAAATGTGTTTCGTGCTGTAAAAGGAAGCAGGTCCCACACCTGTTGAAGATGAACTAATTATTCTGTTTGGCAGCGGTAGGAAACAGATGCGCTAATGTGACGGTCCAGAACAGCCAAAATTATAAATATGAATACAGAAATAAATTAGTAACTTAACTGAGCAATTCATGTCCTAGTAATCACAACAAAGAAGAGGTGTAGCACATTTTTTCTGTACGCAACGCAGTTAGACAAACATCTGCTTAACAATGTCTTCATTAAGATATTTTGACATTGTTTATATTTTTTAGGTATACATTCTTATTCTTGCATTTTGTATTTTAATATATTACATTTATTTTTAAAATATGGATGAATTTGTTTGTTTTACAATGTAATGATTAAATGAGCAATTGTATCAATCAGAAGTTAAACATGTATTTATTACAAGAAAAAGATATTTAAGTAATCACATGCTTTTATTTAATGCTTTATTTATTCATTGAGTTGATGAACTTTGGTCTGACCCAGGCCAGGATTCAAACCCAGGACCTGTAATGTAACAGTCAGCTGCACCACCTTTAAATAAATTAAAATTACTAATAAACTGAACGATGATATTAATTCAATTCTTATCAAATGGAAAAGTAAACAGAAAGTCCAGACCACGCCAACTTTGTTCTAATGTGTTTAGCATTAGTTTTGACTTCAGCAAATTAGAAACAAGCAGAGCAACTTTTACTCTGTGTTGGTGGGAGAGTAAAGAAATTGACAAATAAATGTATACACTGTTTGATTTGTGCTGCTGGTAACAGCACTGTGTTTCCCTGCTTGTTTAAGACAAAATGCTAAAATCAGAAAACGAAAAAGACTCATTAGCAGATTTTGCAATTTCCAAATAGATCTGAATTGTATTCTCCTGTTAAAATGATGGTCTAATACACTGTTTTTCACCAAGGAGGAATTTTACTTTTTCAACCAGTTTTGTAATGTTCTAACAGTAATTATTAGTTTCAACAATCTGTAATTAAATATGATTTCAGACAAATCTGTGGTTAAAAAAAGGGTTTCCCTGAATCCCTGTTCCTATGGTTCACAACTCGCACTTCGTTTACATTATGTTTAGATGTTTTTTTCTAATCTGAAATATTTTATTGTTTGTCATACTTATGCTCATAGATGGGTAGAGTACAAAAATTATACTCAAGTAAGTGTAGCACTACTTCAACATACTTTTTCTCAAGTAAAAGTAAAAAGTAGACATCCAAGAAATTACTCAAGAGTAAAAGAGCATTTGGTAAAAATGTCTACTTGCACTGAATAACTGATCAAAAATATTATTTAATATTTAAACATTGCATTATTAGACGGACCAGAGCATAAGGGTAGGTGGAAATTTACAATTTAAAGAAAAAAAAAGATATAAATAAATACAATTATTTGATTGTTATAAAATGATATGTGCCTGGAAAATACATAATATGGCCCCTTTAAGTCTGTAGCTGCCCTACAGTATTGTCCAACAGACAAACGTCACGCAGGTTGGATCTCAAAACGAGTCTTTCTTAATTATTTTTTCATCCATCAGCTGCAACAATGTCTCAGCTTTCTGCTGGCGATGAGGTGCAACTACAGTCTCTCCTCAAGCAGCTACTGAGAAGCATCAGCGACAAGATCTCTGGAGCGCCGTCCACTGAATGTGCCGAGGAGATTCTCCTACACCTGGAGGAGACCGACAAGAATTTCCACAAGTAAGTCCTCAAAAACCACTGAACTAGCAAACTGTAATAACAGAAATACGTTTGTTTAATGGAAACACGCTAATTTAGAAAAAAAACTCACGTTCGATTCGGCGGTTTTTCGGCCGTATTAAAATATTCCGGTTCGCGTCACGTGATCAACAACCGGATGTTACTGGCGAAAACGACGAAGAAGACGACAAGAAGTAGTAGGAGATTGGTGTTTTTTTTTTAGTTCATAAAAAGTTTTGCGTCATTGTAACGTGTTGTAGCTCTTGTAAAATGGCCGACCACATTTCCCCCAAACCGCCTCCTACGGAGCTGCTCTTGTCGCTCCGAAGCCCGAATAAGACGCCATATTTCTTCTGTTGGTCGATAGAAGATTATCGCTAACGCCATGGCTGAATTATGAATATAATCTCATGTAACTGTTTACATCCGTCGCTGCCATGATATTTACTCTCTTAAAACAAGCTTATTCATTTAATTTCAAACGCAGTTATGAGATTGTGTTTGCTTTTTTACATTTGCAGAATATAGACAAAGATTTGCGCACATTTGCCGTGGTGGTTGTTGTTTTTGGGTTTAAATTAATATATAAGGGGTGGTTTTTTAAAATTTGTTTTTCAGCTATGAGTTCGTCCGATACCTCCGTCAGCATGTAGAGAGCTCTCTGGGTCCGGTGGTGGAGGATGAGTTGCAGAACCTGACCAGAGGAGGACAACATGCAGTCGGACCCGGACAGGACACCTCAGTTCAAGTCGTGACTCGGAGAACTAGAGACTCGGCTCAGTGAGTGCGAATCACAGTGTTCTGCTTACTGCTCAAGTGTTAAAATATGAAATATGTCCTTATTTATAAAATGAGTAAGTTCACAAAATGCTCAAAATTCCTCATTTTAATGTTCAATGATTTTTTTGTGGAGAAGTTTTCATAAAATTACTAATTAATTTTCCTAATATTATAATAAAATACTAGTATTTTATTATTTCAACATTATTGTATGACTTTATTCTTCTATTGTTATTTTATTCTGGCAATATTGTCACTTTATTCCTGTATTATTATGACTTTATTCTTATAATATTATAACTTTATTCTCATTTTTCACAACTTTATTGAGGTAATATTATGGCTTTTTTTGTCATATTATTATAACATTGTGCATTATACTTAGTTTTTGTGCTGTTGTAACTTTATTTTGTAATTTTGCAACTTTATCCTTTTTTACAACTTTATTCAGGTAATGAGTTTATTGTTGTATTTTTAGAATGTTATAATACTACAACTTTAATCTCCTTATTTACAACCTTATTTTGGGAATACTATGACTATATGGATTATTTCAACGTAATCAAACAATCAAATTTTATTTGTATAGCACATTTCAGCAGCAAGGCATGTCAAAGTGCTTTACATAATTAAAATAAAAACAGCATGTGACATTGAATAAACAGTGAGTAAAAAAATCTCTTTTTCAAAGAGATTTTGAAAAAGATTAAAAAAAGATAAAAACATTAAAACCCGCACCCCTTTTAGGACTTCAGTTAAACGTCGTTTAACTGGGGCTCTAACCCTCTAGGACTTTAGTCAAAAACACTTAGTGATTTATAAACTAACAACAGTATTTTAAAGTCTACTCTTTGAGCTACAAGGAGCCAGTGTAGGGACTTTAAAACTGGTGTTATGTGCTCTATCTTCCTGGTTTTAGTGAGAACAGCAGCAGCAGCTTCTGGATCAGCTGCAGCTGTTTGATTGATTTATTAGTCAGACTTGTGAAGACGCTGTTGCAGTAATCAATGCGGCTAAAGATAAATGCATGGATGAGTTTCTCTAGATCACGCTGAGACATTAGTCCTCTAATCCTGGAGATGTTCTTCAACTGATAGAAGGCCGACTTTGTGACTGTCTTAATGTGGCTCTGAATGTTCAGGTCAGAGCCCATCACTACTCCCAGGTTTCGTATTTTATGTCTTCGATGTATTTTTACTACTTTATTGTCCTTATTTACAACTTTATTCAGGTAATATTGTGATTTATTATTATATTATTTTAACTTTTTTTTTTTTACATGTTTGTTTGACTTTATTCTCATAATAAAATAAAAATTTCTTTGTCTGATCCTAACACTCCGTTGTCAACAAAGCTGTAAAAATATATATAGCATAGTATAAAAAAATCTTTGCACATCAGCTGGCAGTAAACTTAATTTTGCTCTAAACTTTATTTGTTATAAACCAAAACATCATTAAAATATAATGATGTTGGCCAACAGTTAATTTTAAACATTATTTTGAATGTTTGGAGCTGATTAATATCGAGTTATTTATCGGATTGCTTCCCCTCTCTGTGCCAGGTACCATCAGATGCTGCAGACGTTAAAGGCCACCATGATGGTGGCCGTAGAGTCTCTGATCACCAAATTTGACGAGGACCAGCTGAGAAAAGAGGAGATGCACAGAGAGATTGAACGCTGCCAGTCCAACAGCCAGTTCACTGATAACTGCTCAGACAGCGACTCCTCCTTCAACCAGGTCAGACACGCAAAACAAATAAGAAGTTAGTGATGTTGGTTTGTTTTTTGCTTTATTCTTATGTTTCACTAAGTCAGGGGTGTCAAAACTTTATGTAAAAACCTAAAACCACAAAATGTTTTATTGAATTTTAAGAATAAGCATGAAATTCTTTAATTAAACAAATAAAATAGTCAGATTTTTTTTGCTGGAAATAAAAATATAAATTGTTGTAGATCCATTTTTGTTTATTTTTTATGTTTCTTTATTGCAACCAGTACGTCAGCCATTCTACTCGTTTATTTTGGGCTCAACTGAAAAAATCAGAACAAATATTTAATCTTTTCATAGCAGCAAAAACATGTTTTTTTTAAATGATGTAAAACCAAAAGCAGATTTAGGAGCTTTAAAAGTTTCCTTTAGTGTATAAGTTAATGAACAAATGTGGCCTCATTTACCATTAAACTAAATTAAATAAAAAGCAGAAAGTTTCTTTTTAAAAGATGAACGATTTGTGTTGTTTCTGACATTTTTTGTGAGAAGATTTTAATTTTGTCCTTCTTTAAAAAAAAAGTCTCCATGTGCATCTAGGCCTGTCGCAATAAATCAATTAATCACATAATAAATTGAAATAAAATCAATAATTTCCATTTGAATGATTTATTGTTTTTCTATTTTCTCTCTTTCTACAAAAACTGGATGATAAAAGTTTTCAATCTGGTGCTTTGATCTCAACTAGCCTTTTTTTAAATCACAATTTTTGTTTACAGGCTTCAAAATTAATTTTATTATTTGTTTTGTTTATTTATCTTGAATATTTAAAACGTCTTCCAGTCCCAGTTTGAAATGTTTGTTAGAATTTAAGGTTTATTGATCTTTGATAATCTGTTTTCTTAGATTAATATACCATTATATTACTTGGAAAGAACAACAATTTTATAGTTTATAGAAATAACTTTTGGGACAATTTATCGTAAAGAAAAATTTGTTATCATCAGGCCCATCTGCATCGACTACCCACGCTGGGGAGACAAATTTCTGCCAATCAGGGGCCACAAATGACCCCCGAACCGCATTCGGGACACGCCTGAATTAACTTTTTAAAGACATTTAAACTCTAATATCAAAAGGAGTGAAAGTCTTCACTCTCTCATTCTGCTTTTTCCTGTAACTGAATCTGTTTGAATGATTATTGTTTTCTGTTTCCAGAGCTACGCCTTCATCAGACAGGAGCAGCTGCAGGTTCTGGCTGAACAACTTGACTCCAACAAGCCGAAAGAGGTAGAGAAAATGTTCTAGAAAGCTCCACAGTTTGACTCGTAAACCAAACAGATCGTTTGCTCCGTAAATCTAAAGTTCAATGAGATTATTAAGAAATATAAGCCAACAAAATGTACACACCTAGTTGAGTTTGGTTTATGTCTCAGCCCTTCAGAGTGAATTGCTTGCTGGATCGATGGGTCATCGCTTACAGCGTCGGCGTGACGAACAGTTTGTGTTGTTTTGGCTGAATGATGTGAATCTGTTCAGGTGCGACGTGAGGCTCTGCAGGCTCTCTGCTGCGCTCCTCCGTCCGACGTGCTGAGCTGCGAGAGCTGGAGCACGCTGCGCAGGAACCTCTGCTCCGCTCTCACCGAACCCGACCTCAGCGTGAGTCCCGGACCCGGATGTTCATGCGACACGATTAGGATGTTTTCACACCTGAGAGTCCGGTGGGCTCAGATAGAGATGCACCGATCCGATGTTAAAGGGACAGTTGCCTTTTTATACCTTAAATTCTTCAGATTCACAAGTGCAAACAAGTCATCAAACCACGATGGTGCATTCAGGCTGGCATAGACAGAAAAAAATAAAGAGGCAAATTTATGACACAAACTCAAATTTTGAGAATCTCAGAAGTGTTTGAGAAAACTTGAACATTTGAGTTTGAAAAGCAAAACATTCTGAGGAAATCTCAGAAATTTCAATGTTATTTTCTAGAAAATTTCCAAGTTTGAAAAGTTGAGAATTTACAAAAAAACAACTCAAAAATTAAAAGTTAATCTAAAAAATGTAGATGTTTTTTTCTAGCAAATTGAGCTTTATCAAAGTAAATAAAGCAAAATCAGACATCTCTTTATTCCCATTTTAAATGATTATAAACTCGTATCATGTTGCAAAAATATATATATTGAGTTTAGTGGTTTTAAAGTGATAAAATGTTAAACTTTTGCAAGGCGCTCCTGTGTGTTTCTGACACTTTTCTGTCGTTTCCACTCCATCAGGAGAATGTGCTGCAGTTTTTCGCTAAAAGCTTTTCTTCATCGCCGCTAAACGTGACCAGAGAGATCTACACCAGCTTGGGTCGGCCTCTTTTCTCACACCTTACATAGAAGTATTTTAAATTAAACTTAAGGTGTTAGTAAAATGACTGTTCTTAGCCTCAGGTTAATGCTGTCACTTTTTTATCTTTGTGTGAGCAGCAAAGAGTCTGGAATCGGCTTTTCTGTCTCAGAGGTTAAACTTCCCAACCAGATCAGCTGCTGTCGACATCAACAGTCCTCAGATCCGTCGTCTCCTCAAACAGGTGCTGCCATCATCTTTAGCGACCTCCTAACTTGAAGAAACGTTTGTTTCATGTTTAACTTCCTGTCTCAGATTCGACTGATGAATGATTTCCAGAAGGAGGTGACGACCTTCTGGATCCGTCACCCGGAGAAGTGAGGTTTCTGTCAGAGTTAATTTTCTCTTTAAATACTCAAACTGTGAAGTTTTTCAAAGTTCTTCTATCTTCCTTCAGATACATGGAGGAGATTATAGAGAGCACTTTCTGTCTTTTGTCCTTCCATCATGACCATGGCTCAACTGGAACAGAGAAAACATTGGAACCGGTCCATTTGCTGTCCTTACTGGACATCAAAGCCACCTGGTTCAATAAATGGATGGTTTGTATGAACCATCTTCTGCTCAGTCTGATTTCTTTAAATGTTTTTTTGCATGTATATTCAGTGCAAGCTCGTAACTAATTACATTTACTTGAGTAACATTTTGGAAAAATTGTACTTGTTACAGTATTTTCACTACGCTGTACTTTTACTTTTATTTAATTTTATAATGAACAAATTCGTTTTTACCAAAACGTCACTAGGCTTGTAAAAGAAAAAAACTAGTTTGGAAAAATAATTTAGCCTAATTTTGTTGTTTATATTAATTATTTTCATCTTAGCCCTTAAATATGAAAATGCCCACAAAACTTTCCATTTTGATCTGTCTGATAATGTCATTTTTAAATAATAAATGATTGTTTTTATCAGTTACTCAGTATTTGACCAGTTTTATTCTTACTTGAGTGATTTCTTGTATGGCTACTTTTTACCTTTGCTCGAGTAAAATGTGCTTACGTTAGCACCTTTTTACCCACCTTTGCATATTTTTTATCTCCTGTTCTTCTTTCTTATCTCAGCATGGCTACTACAGCAGGACGGTGGTTCTCAGGCTCCTTGAGAGAAAATATAAGACTCTGGTGAGTGATTCAGTCATTCGCATCTCAAGCTGTTACATAATCACTCTATGGTGTAATAAGTTAATGACTGGTTGTGTTTAGCAACAGGCGTCACCCATGGAAATGTATTTAATGTGAAAAACATGACAGGGACCTGTATTTTACACGTTTTTATTCTTGCATTTGGGTTTCTACTGCTTCTTCAAGTCTTTAATAAAACCACTAACCTGTTTTTTTGGGGTAATAAGTTCATGTTTTTACTGTCTGAAAAGTGAGCCGTTTCAAAAACCTACGTAATGTTCTGTCACACTGTCCTGTTACCTAGCAACCTCAGCAGGAATTACGCCTGTTGCCTAGCAACCCAAGCTGAGTTCCATCACATTCGGTCAGCTGGTTTTGCTGCTGTATGTGCTGTACAATGGCTGTTGGAAAAGACAGGAGCCATTAGCTGTTGACTTACTGTCAAGAAAAACTTTCTGTGTTTTTGTTGGCTGTGCAGGAGGCTCTACTTTAGCTTTTCAAAGATGCATCGTTGTGTAATCCTGACCAACTGAAAGTGGAATGCATCTTGTTGTCTATGGACTTTACATTTTCAAAATTCTTTGTCTTGCTTTTTTACAGATTGTATCGGCTCTTCAGCAGTGTTTACATTTCAGTGAGTCCTCTGAACGTAGCTCAAGTGAGGCTGCTGATCCTCATGTGGAGGACTCCAGTGACCCTGGTGAGGAAAACGGAGTGTAAACCGATCATTTCCTCTTCAAGGTTAACGCTAGTGTTCATGTGAACAAACCTTAAATTGTGCAGGTCCACAATGCACAAACAGGTCATCAAACTACAACAGCGAATTTAAACAAACAAGGAAATTTCTGGCCTCCAAGAGTCAAAAATTTGCCAGAAAGCTGACATTTCTGAGTTTGCAAAATTGTAAATGAAAAAAAAAAGATCATTTTGATAAATCTCTGATTTTTTTTTTTTTTTTTTAGAAAAAAACGAGGAAATTTCAGAAGTTCTCCGAAAATTTCGAAAAGTTAAAACTTTTTGACTTGAAAATTGTTTTTAGATTGATCTAAAAATTTTAATTTCTTACTAGCAAATTTTGGAGCTCAGACGTTTCCGTGATTTTTCCAGAAAATGTCTTGAGTGTAATCTGAAAAACTTACTATTTAACTAAGACAGTGTTGTATCATACTGTGTAGTTCATTCAAGAAAAGATTTCTGGTGAATTTCTTGTATTCCGTCTTAGATTTGTTGTTATTTCCTTAGTTTTTTCTTGCAGCAAGTGCCGCCCAACTTTTGTTGCCAAAAAACAAAGAAAGAAAAAGAAAAAACAAAGATGCTAAACTTTCAAATATTTTGCTAAAATAAAATATTTATTAAAATATTGTCTATTTAGTATGATATTGAAGAGATAAAAACAGCAAATGTCTTCAGAAATAAAACTTTTCAGCTTTAATTTTAAAACAATGTGGCTCAGTTGTTTTTGAGTCAGTGATTATAGATGGGAAAGAAAACAATTTCTTCATCTTCTGCATTTGTTAATTTTATTAATAAAATGTTCTTCTGTTTTGCTTTATATGATACTTGGAGGGGACACATTCTTCGTTTCCATATTTATATCATTCAGTTTGGTCTGTAAAGTGGAACTGCAATGGTTTGGTCTGAATGTAGAGACATAAATTCATTAATTATTCATATTTTTCTCATTTTGCTTTCAGGTTTGCTACAGAGAGGCGTTTTTACCAGGAGGGATCTTGAGTATTCCTTCTTTGTTCACTCTTTATGCATCCTGGGTAAACTCATCATCTACACCAACGGACGAAAACTCTTTCCCATCAAAATTAGGAAACACAAAGGTGGGACTTTTGGCTTCAAGTCTGTGTAGTGAAGGAACAAATAAGTGGTAAAGTTGGAGTTGAGGTCTCTAGCTCTTTAGTTTTTATTGTTCTAGGCGATTATTGCAATCAGATTGTGACTCAGGAATGCTTGCAGTCAGCACAGATATGAATCGCCCCTTCACTCCTCTGATGCTGCAACTTTATTCCTCTCCATCCCACCTTTATCACAAGTAAAGTTACATAATCCTGATAGTGGGAGGACGTCCGCCAGACACATCTTAAACTTTACTGTCTGACTAGGCTGTTGTTCACTCTGTTCCAAGTTATTGTTATGCAATCAAGTTAATGAATTAAAGGAGTTGAGAAATGATGGAGACTGCAAAATTACAAAATTTTACCTTTTCATCTAGTTCCTTGTGCAAATCTTACTTCACTTAAAATAGGAGAAGACTTACAAGTAATATTTCAACAAGATGCATGAGCCTGATTTTAGTCAATAATTTAATAATACTAAATAATCTGGAACTAATACTTTATCAATATTAAGGAATTATTGACTTGGACCAAGCTCCTATTTCTTTGTGGAAAGTTACTTGTAAGTTTTGTTGTATTTTAGGTATACTAAGATATTTGCACTAGA